CTCTCTCTCTCTCTCTCGCTCCCTTTGTTGTTTTCAGAAGTCTGCCCGCCTCAGGTATTGTTGCTTCGTTGGATGGAAACTTTATCCTATGATGGGACCTACGAATTCTTTGAGTTGTTTGCCGGAGAGGGCAAAGTTACGCAACTGTGGTGATGGTCTCATTTGCTTGTGCACCCATGCCGAACAACCTTCCCCACAAATCAATCAATCGTACCCCAGGCATGAGAAAGGCTACCGCACCGCCAGCTTCGACAAGATCTACGGGGGCCCCATGGACTTTCTCAAAAGTTCTGGCTTCACGAGTGATGGCTGCAATGTTCGTGAGTTCAGACTGTATAAATTCTTGGTGTCGTAAAGTCATGCATGCTGTTGTAAGGATTGCTTGCTGGGTCGTGTCGTGATGAATGAAGTTCCCGACGGGTTTAATCTCGTTGGCCCCGACTGCAGCAGCTGGGGCATGCCAGCAAGATCCACGAGCATGCGGTCAAGTATAAACCCGTTTGGGAGAATGGGCATCAGCTGGGTGTCTTCGAACTACGGCTTGGTGAGCAGGCCATACCACGCATGTTCATCCGGTCTTTGGCATTTATGGCTTTGCAGTACATAGTCTGACAGAACATATAAGCTGCGTGCTTTTCGGAATCCACACGAGGCTTGTGCTGCTCCTTCTCCTTATGCTTGCTCGACATTGCACTTGGATGATAGAGCAGCCCGTTCATAGCTTGCTGAAGAAGCACCAGAGATGGCAGTGGATGACCAACCGGGTTGTCAAGGCTTCTCAACTGATATCCAGTGTTACCTTGCATTGAGCCCTAGCCAGAGTGACTGAGTCCTCAGGTTTACGAGCAAACCTTCTGGATGATGCTCCACGGTTCGGGAAGCCCCAAAAGAACAATTGTTCTGTCGCCTATGGTTACCATATCCGAGCTGGACCTTGGACGTCTTACCAAAGCCGAGAAAGCCAAGCGCACCAACATCAGAACAGTTCGTGCCATGCCCGAACCCAGAAACCCGATAGCTACCTGCCCCTAAACCCATAAAGGTCTAAGCCTTGAGCCGTGCTCAGCCCAGGTCGGCACCTTGGCAAAGACGGCAAGATGAAGTTCACTGGCCGGAAGAAGGAGCTGAAGCAATCTGGGCACCTGGCCAGTCATCGTCGGTTGTTGGAGTCGAGGGTTTTCGGGATTCTGAATGAGAGGTAGACACCGGGCGAGAGAGAGAGAGCGAGAGAGTGAGAGAGAGACAAAGAGAGAGAGGGAGGGGTTTCGGGATCTTTAGTGGGGTGGCTTGGGGTGTGCCGGTCTTTGGTATTCTGGACTTCGGGTTATATTCGGGCTAGCCGGTTTGAGTTGTTGAGGTGTTTTGCTTGCGTAAAGGGGTAGGCTTCTTGGTGCTCGCAGGGCTAGGGCTTACGGCGGTGCAGGGGTGCCACCTAGGAGTTTGTTGGTTTCTGGATAGTATTATGCTAGCTATCTGTAGAACATAATATTAATTATATTATATATATTATACTATTATGTATATATATATATATATATTCCATCTAGGTCGATAGGTATAGATGGTACATGATAGTCAGTCCAGTATCCTAGTAGTGTATGTAATATGTACATATATATATATATATATGTTATATACATATTATATATGCACTTATAATATACATAGCCAACTCGAATATGTATATATATATATATATACACATACACACATACATACATACATACATACATACATACATACATACATACATACATACATACATACACACAATATAAACAATAGGCAGGCAGGCAGGTAGGTAGGTGGTTGGTAGGTCGGTAGGTAGGTAGGTAGGTAGGTAGGTAGGTAGGTAGGTAGGTAGGTAGGCCGGTAGGTAGGTAGGTAGGTAGGTAGGTAGGTAGGTAGGTGGGTAGGTAGGTACCCTACCCTACCCTACCCTACCCTACCCTACCCTACCCTACCCTACCCTACCCTACCCTACCCTACCCTACCCTACCTACCCTACCCTACCCTACCCTACCCTACCCCACCC